TCTGAGCTTTCAGAAGGAACCCAGCCTGCCAACGCTGAGGTTTTGAACTTCTAGCCTCCAGAACCGAGACATAAATTTCTATCACCGAAGCCACCTAGCTTGTGGTGCTTGGTGAGAACAGCCCCACACAACTAATACACATGCCAAAAAATAAAGGAGCTCATCTTCACCCAACTCATCCTTTGTTCCTTGTCCCAGGACACCTCAGAGGTCATGGACTGGAACCGGGCACCTGTTCTGCCCAATCTGCTGGGGGGACGGTGAGGATACAGAGTGTGGCTGCCGCTCAGAGGTCCCCTTGAAGGAGGGTGGGGGAGGCAGCCCCCTCAGAAGGAACAGGGAACCTGCCAGGAAGACAGGGGTGCAGACTTCCACACTGAGGGGCTCACGGCACTGGGAGCTCGCGGCACATCCCTTTAGCCAACGAGTTGTCCAGAAGGGAAGGGACAAAGATGGGAGGAGGCAGGGTGAAGAGGCAGCTCTGTATATCGGCCTGTCTCTGCCGGCATGAAGTCGTTCGCCGTGGCTGAAATAAGAAGATGGTATAAGTGGAAAACATGCACTTGAACTTGTGACTCAGCTCCTCCTGACCCCCGGGCAGTGTGCTCCATAAATCAAGAAGCCACTGCGGCACCTCCTCCCCGGCACCTCCCCCCCAGGCGGTCCCACAGGGGTGGGTCCGGGAGATGCCTTAGCCAAGAGACAGGCACCCCTTGGTGAGAGATTTAAAGGCATATTTGCTACTCCAAGAAGCTTCCTGATAGATGGCCTCGGCCCTTGACCCATTAATTTTTACTGCCTAACCTGCCTAGTTTTATTTCCTGGCACAGCTTGTAATTTTTTTTTCATATTTAGCAGCAACAGCTTCAGGCTACTGAGAAGCAGGGTGGCCAGATGTACTTAATATAATATGCACCGCAGCTTTGAAAGGCTTAGGTTCTTAAATGTGTTTTAAATTTGGTGAGCTGCCCTTTGTTCTTCTCACCAACTCTTACTTGGGTCTCAGTTTAGAAACCAGGCCACAGAGATGCTGCTTGCTTCTGGGGGCTGTGTGGGGGGCCCGGGGAGCTTCACGACCCCCTCCCTCCGGGCCCCTCCCCCATCTGGGCCTCTCAGCCCTCCCAGACCCAGTGGCACTTTCCATGTTAAAGGGGGGAGGGGGGAGAAAGGATCCAGGAAAGGAAGAGACTTGGCCAAAGTTTCAAGGACACCAGACCAAAACGCTAGTGGGCTCACTCCCTGCGAGCACGTCCACCAGGCACAGGGCCGGGCACTGGGACATGCAGACCAGGAAGAAGAGGTCTGCCTGAGGGAAAGGACAGTCGCACGGTGCAGGCGGGGGAGCAGGGCTGGGGGAAGTGGAGACCTCGGCAGCAGCCCCGTAACGAGGGCTCTCATTTGTGCGCCTGCGCCACCCGTGCGCCGCCCCTGGCAGCGCACTGCATCCGCTTGTTGCCACTCCATCCTGACAGCACCCCCTCCCACTGTGCAGGTGACAAAACCCCGTCCAGTGACTTTCAACTTTCCACTCCAGCAGCTGAACCCTGTCTTCGAGGGAACTCTTACATGAAACCCCAAATAAACAAATGAAGTAACACCGGGGCAAGTCCCCCCTCCATTATCCTCTTCTTCTTAACCCTCCTCCCAACAAGGGTCGTGGAGGAGCTTCCTCAGAGCCCGAGACCTCATTCTGCACAGTTTAAAGACCATGCTCATGATCCAGTTCTTGGAAGCTTCCAAGAGCCCCAGGCGACCGACAGGCAGAATTGCGCCGTCCATCTTCGCTCATTTCAGAGAGGAGCGAACCAAGGCCCAGAGGAGGAAGCCCCGTGATCGTGCCCTGGGGAGTCACCCTGCAGGTCATACTCTGGTCCAAGGCCGAGGGATCTCAGCCTGTGTCCGTCTGTCCGTGACAGCTCATCCGTTAGGGAGCAGAGGCCTTCACTCACAGCTACAACACACCGTCTCTTCCGAGCCATGTTTTAGGGCCCAGTGTGAAGTGGGCTCTGACCACCCGGTGTTCACCTCCCTCCCACCCTGTTTCTCCTCCCCACCTCCAGTTCCCCCGCCTGGCCCGACTCAGGAGGAGGCTCTTCAGAGAGCCCGTCCCTGGGAGCCAAGTGGATGGGCGTGGCTCGAAGCCGAGAGCCCTGCAGTTCACCTGAGGAGTTCCGTGTCCGCTCAGCTTACTTAATGTCATGCTTCGTCACTCTGTAATATTCATGGGACACTTGACTTCAGAAATCCTCTGAAATGGGCCCTGGCTGCTGTGGCTCAGTCAGTTGAGCATTGTCCTGCACACTGAAAGTTCCCAGGTTCGATTCCCAGTTGGGGCACAGGGCTGGGTTGTGGTTTTGGTCCCCAGGTGAGGTGTGTGCAAGAGGTGGCATATCAGTGTTTCTCTCCCTCTCTTCCCCTCTCTCTAGAATCAATAAAAGAAACAAATTGAGTTCTCTGAAATCAGATTTTTTAGTTCCATAGCACCTTTGAGTGTGTAAGTGAACCATGAACTTTCTCACGTGTGCTAAGACAGAGACTTGATCCTCAGGAAACTTGATGATTGCGCCCCACAGGGTGGCCTCTCTGGAGGTGGCCCTGCCACCCGGCCCTGGCCCCTCTTTGGTGGACCCCACAGTTGCCGCCTGCTTCTCCCTCCCTGCTCTCTCCCGGCTCCTTTCATCCAGGCTGGCTCTGACGTGGACCCCTTTCTGCCCTGCCCCCTCTTCTTGGTTCACCCTCCTCCAGGGCCCGTCCGTGCCTTGTTTCTTAGGCTTTCAGTGCAGATCATCTAGGAAACGAGGCAGCTGGCAAAGGTAACAAGCAGGGGAAGCTCCCAGGGTTGCAAACCGGTTCTAGCAGGGCCTGTCCCTGTGTCCCTACTTGGGCGAGTCTGAGTGGCCCCCTCTTGTGACCCAGAGGTGAGCGGAAGGCTGTTTTCCCAACGTTGCTTCCTGAGATTCCAATTCCAGGAACAGTTTCTCAGAGATGTGGTTTCATGGTCAACAGGACAGTGACATTTTGCACGCGAGCTGTCCCTCTTGGGGACATCCGTGTGTGGGGGCAGCACCAGCGGCTCCGAGAAGCCCTGCAGTCCAGAGTCCCGTGGACCCTCGTGTGGCCCGGACCCTGCTGGAGCACCAAAAACGTGTTTTGCAACCCATCTAAGAGACACTGGTTGGGAGTTTCTGGAAGATTCTCAGCCCTTGACTGGGGTTTCTTTTGGCCCGGGGTGGAGGCCTCTCCCGGCTCCGTGTAGGAAAAGCCAAATGAAGTTATTCTCTGAGAGCCTTCGGGACGGCTTTTGCCATCGATACCAGAGCATTGTCCTCGGCTTGTGCTTCCTTTGGAAGTAAATGGAAATGAATTGGGGGGGGTGTTTATGGTCTGAACGTCGCTTTCTTGGGGTCTGGTCAAAGGACAACGTCGGGCCAGGACGAGCCATTCTTCAAAGAAAAGAAGGTACTGGGGTGTTCTGGGTGTGGGAAGCGGGTCTTTTTTTACCAAGCCAGCTGTCACGTGCTTGGACTTCTACAGAAACGCCCACACGCGCTCAAACTTACGTTAAGGACATACCTCTGCTTCCTGTACTAGAGGCTTTTTCTGGTAGCTTAGTGAACTTCAGTTTTAGTTTATTTTTCATTACTTTAATGGTTTTTGAATTAACAATGAATCCCACCCTTTTGATTGATTAGTTGGTTGTCTTTTCCTAGTTTTTGTTTCTCTCTACCCTGGAAAATTCCATCAGTCATTTCACAGATGAGTCATGGGTTTTGTTTATTTGTTTGCATGGGTTGGCGGATGTCTGAAAACACATACTGTTGTGAAGAAGGTGATGCTGACTGTGTGAGTTTGCCAGGGGGACCATAACAAAGTATCACAGACAGAGCAGCTTAAACAACAGAAATCTATTGTCTCAAAGTTCTAGAGGCTAGAAGTTCAAGATCAAGGTATCAGCAGAGTTGATTCCTTCTAAGGGCGGTGAAGATCTGTCCCAGCCTCTCCCCCAGCTTCTGGTGGTTTGCAATCTTTGGTGTTCCTTGGCTTCTGGAAGCATCACCCCGATCCCCGCCTCGGTCATCCCCACGTGGTATTCTTCCTGCACGCATGTCTGTCCAAACTTCCTCTCTTCATGAGGACGCCAGTCCTGTCAGATCAGGGGTCCATCCTTCTCCACCGTGACTTCATCTAAACTTAATTATATCTGCAAGGACCCTATTTCCAAGTAGTGTCCCATTCTTACTTGCAGTGTGGTACTGGGTCCCTGCAGCACTGGGGGTTAGACCTTTAAATGTGGTTTTTGAGGGGACCCAATTCTATACAGTGTCCCACAGCATTCAAGGAAGGCCGGAGGGGCTGCCTCACCTTTCAGCTGTCAGCTTCCAAAAGGAAGCGATGGCCAGGCTCCCTGTTGGTTGAAGGTCATGTGGGAATAGGCCCCGATGCAGAAGGACTAGCAGCTTCTACAGCAAGCTGACGTTCCTCTCCAAGTGGAGCAGGGCCCGGAATCCCTTTAAAGCTGTCTGACTGGGCCAGCACTGGCAGGTAGAGAACTGGAGTTGGGCTCATTTCAGTGAAAACCTTCCTGCTGTGTGCGCAGGCCTGGGCTGGGCCCTGGAGAGAGTGGGGTGAAGGGAACCCAGACCCTGCCCTGCGGGAGCTGGAGGAGGCAGATGTGCCAGCCGTGTGGACGGGTGAGGACCCAGTGCCGTTTCTGGAGTGAGCTTGGCTTAGGGAGGCTACACTAAAGCTTCACAGAGGAGGTTAATCACCTGTTGCTCATTTTTAATGGCTGTGCCAATACAATCAGTTATGATTCATTAAATCACATGCCCTCAGTTTTACTGTGGCATCAGTCCAATCCAGGACAGTATTCCACTGTAGTGATCGCTATCCTGACAACTCATAAAGCATGCTCAGGCCGCCATGTGGATGGCGAGCCTTTATTTCCTGTGAGGACAAATCCAAAAGCGGTCTTCCTAAGATCTTTCTCTTTCTGGTAGGTCTTAGGTCAGCACCGAATCTCAGAAGGCAAAGACAAGTTCTTTGACGATGTCGTACAGACGAGAACTGGAGAAATACCGTGACCTGGATGAAGACGAAATCCTCGGAGCCCTGACAGAGGAAGAGCTCAGGACTCTGGAGAACGAGCTGGATGAGCTGGACCCTGACGTGAGTAGGCACTAAGGGGGACCGCATTGTCACAGGTACGGGGACATCAACCATGTCTGCCTGGGGAAGGGACAGGAGCAGACTTCCTAAAGCTACCACTTCCACTTTCTTCTGTGGCATTCACATTGGAATGACATCGCCTTTCCAGGAGGGTGTGTGTGTGTGTGTGTGTGTGTGTGATGTATTCGCCAGGCCTCTCTAACAGAACCAACGGGATGTATATACATATAGAAAGAGATTTATGGTGAGAAATTGGCTCACACCATTGTGGAGGCTGACAAGTCCCGAGGTCTGCAGTTGACAGGCTGGAGACCCTGTCACCTGGAGAGTGGATGGTGTGGTTTTAGTCCAAAGGCTGGCAGGCTTGAGACCAGAGGGAAAAATTCAATACATCTTATATTACATGATAAGAGAATAAGAGGGGAAAAAACAAAGATGTTTGCTTCACATACACACCTGAAAACGTATTCATAACACAATGAGAAGGAAAGACTCATGGTCATTGTAGTCCTTGTTTCTCTAACAGGCCATGTGGTTCTAGCTGGTCGTTACATGTATCTTCTCCCACTACCTATTCTGTACTCCCTTTGCCTTCGGCAAGCACCTACCTGGTCGTGGTCCTTGCCTGGCTGGATGCCCAGACCTTCATTCCGGAAGGACCTGGGCCATCGGTGGCCCTGCCTAGACTGGGTTGTTGCAGGCTTTCACTGACTGTGATCTCGGGGCGCGGTGATACTAAGAATGCCCTAAGCACCCTCCTGTCGCACACAGACGCTTCCTCGCCTCCAGTTTCCCCATGGTTCTTAGGACCAGTCTCCCCAGGCAACACAGAAAGTCCTTCTCTACCTACTGTTCAGAGCTATGAGGAGCCCCAAGTGGCCGGGCGTGGGTCTTAACTTCCAGTCCAATGGAATCATTGTCCTGTCTCTTGGAGGAAGCATTTCTCCCTTTGGACTAAGACCCCCTAGGTCAGCAGAGTGTAAGGTCACAGGAATAGGAAGCAAAACTTATGCCAGTGAGTCACTCGGGGTATTAATGAGTAGTGCCCCCCATCTCTACCCTTGATTCCTGGACCCGTGAATCCCGGCTGGACCCTGTATGGACACTGATTCAGAGCATGTGCAGACTCTGAGGAGCCCTGCAAGCTATTGCCCGCTAGCTCGCTCTATCCCTGAGCCTGCAAAAGCCCGTTCCACCGTTTCACCCAGGCAGCTGCTTCAGGGTGCTGGGGAAACACGCAGGATGAGTTCACTGAGATAGAGGACTTAGAAGAAGAGACTCTTTCACTTGTGTGGTGTTTTTATTGTTGCATTCCACAGCTGGCACACTTAAGAAGTGTGTTTAATGCTCAGAATTCACCTCTGCTGCTAGGACCAGAGCATCAGAAGGCGGGAGGATCCCTGGTCACCTCTGTGGTTTGCTCAGCCCCGTGGAGCCCTGAGCGGGGTTGGGGACTCCCAGGTGGCCTACTAGACAGGTCCCACGCCTCGGTCTCAGATGTGCAGGTCAGCACCCAGGAGGGAGAAGGTGGGTAAAGAATGTTACTGAATTCAGTGAATTTTCCATTTGGTATGTTTTTAAATTAAAAAATCGAACATTTCACACTTTTTAAAAAAAACTTGTCATTGCTCAGCTCTAGTTTAACAGTGATCTGTGAAAAAAAGAACGCTTCTATCGGGTTGACCCAAAAGCCCATTGCGTTTTTTCCTGTAAAATAAAAGCGACACATTTTTCATCCTCACCGATAACTTTTTTGATTTGGACATTTCGAGTACGTCAGCTCTCTCCCGCTGTTGACGTCTGGTGGGTAGAGGCGAGAGGTGCTGCTAAACATCTTCCAATGCCTAAGACAGCCCCACAGCAAAGAATTTTTTGGCTATGTCAATAGTACCAAGAAACTTTGCAAACTTCTTTTAAAAAAAACATTTTATTTATTTTTAGAGAAAGGGCAAAGAAGGGAGAAAGGAAGAGAAACACTGAGTGGTAGCCTCTCGTGTGCCCCCAAGTTGAGGGGCGCGCGCCCTGACTGGGACTCAAACTGGTGACCTTTTGGTTCTCAGGCCGGCGCTCGATCCGCTGAGCCACACCAGCCAGGGTGAAACTTCACAAACATTTGATATGTTGAATCAGTCGCAGCACCTTCTTCATACACTACACAAATCCTGTTTTGCATTTCAGTTGTGTTTTTTACCTTTCTTGAAATAATAAAGCATAATATTCCAAAAATGTTGCATATACTCTTATATCTTCGCTATTAAAATGACAGCATGGAAATTCACCAATTTTGATAAGTTTTTTAAAATACATGCTGATGTGACAGCTGTCATAATACAATTTAACAAAATTGTCTCGAATGAAGTTGAAGACAAGGACTACTAGAGCCATTTTTACAGAAAACACTAAACAAACTTTTGGTTATCCCGATATACTATTTCTCTGACCCTCAAGTAGTCACAGCTGGCATGGAGGCGGTGAAAGTTAGCAGGGAAAATGCAGGACCAGAGGTCAGATGTTCCGTTCCAACCCTGGCCCCGTCTCTTACACCCATCGTGGCCTTGAACTGGTTGCTGCCCCTGTCTGGGCCTTAGTGTCTCCAGGGCCAAGCTGCCATGAGCTTATAAGCTGGTCTTCTCTCCAGATTTGTTATGTGGCTTCTTTCTAGGTAACCCAGAATCCTCATCTAGGGACCCTCAGTCCTAGGCCCGTAGAATGACAAGTTCCTCCAGCGGCACACTGTCATCTTGCTGTCCACCGCTCCCCCGCCCAACCCAGAGGGGGCGGTTCCACGCTCAGGTCGCTCCAGGTGATGAGAAGGCAGCCTCCTTGGTGGGAGAGCCTTGGGCCCCTCCCCTTCCTCTGCACCACAGCTCTTCCCTCTTAGCCACCCTGCATCAAAAACTAGCCACGTGGGCAAGAAACAATTAAGTGTCCAGCTTTATTGCTATGAAATTATTCCGTTCCAACAATTCTATGCCAGATCGCTGCTGCAGGAACAAAGAGCTTTAAAAAGTGAGAATGAAGGAAGGGTGTGCTCCCTGTAGGGAACTCAGTAAACGTGGCTCAGGTACCTGCCAAGCGCCAGGCCCCGGGCTGGCCGCTGACAGGGGAGCCTGGGGGGGATTCTGTCCTGAAGGCACTCGGCCCAGTGGGCAGCAGATGTAATACTAATTATGTTCTGAAGGGGAGCAGGTGGGAGCTCAGAGAGAGGGCTGATTCTTGCTGGTGGGAGGCTTCACAGAACAGGTGATACTGGAACTAGGCCCTGGACTTTTCTAAGTCAAGAATAAAACAAAGAACTCTAGGCCAAGTGAAGGCCAGGAGCAAGGGGTCTTGTACAGAAGGTGGTGGGGAGCAGGCAGTCTCAGTGCGGTTTCTGTGGAGGGCGAGATGAGCCTGGAGCCGGTTGGGCCAGATGGAGCGGGTCACTGAGGGTTCGGGTTTCTCAGCAGGCCTGGGGAAGCCTGGGGCAGTGGTTTGCTGGGCTTGCTGTCTTAGGCCAGAGGGACTGGCGGAGGTGCCGGGGAGATGGGGGCAGGGAGAAGGGGCTCCATGGGAGCCCCTGTGGTCCTGCCCAGCCTGTGGTGGGAGAGTCCTTTTCTGATGATAAGAAAGGGCTCCTGCCCCTCCCCACAACCCTCTCAACATGTTGCAGAGTCTTTGCTGTTCCCAGGGCAAAGGGCAGACCCCCAGGGGCCCTCCAGGCCTGCTGCCTCTGGCCTTCGGGATTGTTGGCATTGCCCTGAGCCGGATGGAGGGGGATGAGGTTAGATCAGGCTGTGACTGCAAATTGAGCAGATGGTGACAGAGGTGGAGGGGGGCACCAGACCTGGGAGTGGGGCGGGGACAGGTGGAGGAGCCCCCTCAGACCCCAGGGTAAGGCCCCCAAAGACTGCTTGATTTCCAGCTGGGAGTTCCGTTTCACTTCTAAACTGGCAAAGAGCTCCTGAGGCGCACCCACCCCAGACATCAGGCATCCGGCCCCAGCAGCAGTTCCCAGGGCCTCTGTGCCGCTCACACAGCCAGCTCCCCTGCACCCTGCCCCAGGGGGTCGGCAGGTGGGGATGCCTGTGTCCACTGGACGGATGGAGAGCCAACAACACGCCCAGTGTTGCAGGACCAGGCGTGGAGACTCGGGTTTCTAACAGGCTCCCAAGTGCCTGCGCCTCCCGTGCTGGAGGGAGGAAGGTAACTTGTACCCGGATTTGAGAGCAGCGCTGGGCAACCCGAGACGTGCGCTTCTCACACCACTGTGGTTTCGAAACGAACATTTTCAAAGACCCCTTTCTCTCTAAGTTCAAGGAAAAGAAAAGAGAAATCAGAGAGAGGATAGGAGATAACAGAGGCTAGTGGGGTTTTTTTTTTCTTTTATCCCAGCCACACAATTGGCCCCTTCACTGTGATGTCTCTGTTACCTGATTTGCAAGTCAGTATGTAAGTTTTGAAAAGATCTAGGGGGCCTCCCACTTTCTGAGAGCACAAACATTCCAGCTCACTTTTCACCCGCCCTTGGCCCACGTTCCGCAGTCCCAGCAGAGTGAGAGGCTGAAGGTATGCAGACCGTGAGAGGCTTCGGAGCTGGAGCTGGAGCCGGAGCTGGCTGGCCTGGGCAGGGCCCAGGGACCAGCGGGTGTCCGACCTCCGACCTGCAGAGCAGGACCTGAGCCCAGGGAGGAGCCAGCTCTAGGTCATAGGCCAAACAGAACCAGACCAGAACCCCCGTCCACTGTCCTCTCTGTTGAACTCTATGAGTCCGTATCCTTCGGTTTTCATTTTCGTTTCACGGGCACTTATATGGCACTTCCCAAGAGGTCACAGCTTAGCCACAGCACTGTAGCGCTTCATGGCGGTCTCTAGGAATAGTTGGAGCCACAGATGTGCCCTGGTTCTGTAGTTGGGGAGGGTGCTGTATGAGAAATCACCTTCCTCTCTCCCTGGAAACAAGCTGAAGGGCAGGTGTTCGTGTTTACTCCTGGCTTTGCTCCCAACTTGGGCACCTGCTG